GCACGCAGCGACACCAAACGAAACCAACCTGGTGCCGATTCGTCAAACCAGAGTGATACGGGGCGGCCGCCTCAGTTGCGAAACAATCAATGCTGTTCAGGAGGATCAAGTTGATGTGACCATCGGCAGACCATTTACCCCAGAATCCCTGTGGTTTCTCTGTAGCCACGGGCGAATAAAGCATGTCTTGCCCACGTTGCATTGGATCCCCAGGCGGGAGTGCCCGCCGCACCCTGGGCACCATGTCCAGCCAGGGTCTTGACTGGCAATCCAAATATTCATGCGTCAGGCTGTCAGTGGTGATGAGGAGGCTGCAATGCAAAGACGGAGATGTTTGTGACGTGTCTGTCGCCAGGCCGGCCAAGCCACGGTATTGTTGTTTGGCATGCCCGCGAGCTGTTGATACGCGGCACGGAAAGGTGAGACGACGCGCAGGCCAACGTGACCGGCACAATGTACGTGGCGAGTCGCGTGAGGCATACGCAGACATGTCTCTTCTGTTGTGCGGGCAAATTGACCTATGAAATGCACTCGAGCACAGCCAGTGTGAGAGCCTGTTGTGACTGTCTAGTTGAACATCCGCAAATCGTTCTGTGATGCGTCAGTGAAGCAGCAGGTGAGCCTTGAGAACCACGTCGCCCCTTTTTTGCAAATATGGGACTCTGGAAAAAATAACACTGTATTTGGAAATCTTGTTGGCTCTCTTCCTAAAGCAACTGTCATTGTCACAGGATAAGGCGTCTGAAAAGTAAGAATACTCTTGTTTCGTCAAAAGCTCAGCTACAGGACCATCAACCCTCCGGTCCTACTTTGACCACTCTCCCCCCATAAACCTATTCAGAAAATCAAGCGAGCCCTCGCCTTCGTACTGCGGGACTTCGTGGCCGGCTTTGTATATCCGCATCAACGACAGGCCCTGTGCAGCCCTGACGTTTCCGTAATTCTTGCCCGACTTGGCATGCAGCTCCTGGGACTTGGCGGCCTTGAGCGCACTCTTTCCAGGCCATTCCAGCGCCAGCGTCCAGGCTTCGTTCCCTAGCCAGTTGCAGATGTAGTCGATGTCGCCCGCGTAAATCAGAACCGGAATCTTCTCCAGGATACCGGGTACAACTCGGTGGGCAGGCGTCATCCAGTCGCCGTTGTTGACAAAGTCGTAGTAGACGTCAAAGTTGCACTCCTCGTATGCGCGGCTGGCCTCGACTCCCAGCGCCTGCTTGGTCTTGGCCGAGCTGAGGAATTGCGAGGCGTAGCTCGTCTTGCCGGTGCCGATGGGAGACGTGATATCGTAGACGCTGTTGTTGGTGCCCCTCTGGTAGATGCCCATCGCAAAGTTGTTGCAGTAGCTTGTCGCTTGCCTGCAGACGCTTGCGCTCGGGTTGTTGTAGCATACACCAATCTGCCGCTGACACTCGGGCTCGGCGTTCTTCATCTCCTGGCAGTCGCTCGGAGACAGGACGGCGGGATAACCGCCTTGGCCGCAAGCCGTGGGCCGGTAGTACAGGTACTGAATGTAGGGATCGGTGAGACCGTTGCCAATGGCCAGGCCCTTGAGGTTGATGTTGCTGTTGGCGTGGGAGAGCAGCTCGGCGCCAATGGCGGGGATGTAGTGCCCCGCGTAGGACTCGCCCGTGACGAAAAAGTCGCGCTCGGCGTATTCGGGGAATTGGTGGAAGAAGAGCGTGAGCATGGCGTAAATGTCCTTGGCTGCGGCTTGGGAGCTTCCCGTGATCTTGGTGCCGTAAGAGTAGCCCACGTTGACGGGCTGGTCGATGAAGATGACGGAGGCATTCGAGTTCCAAGAGTATGGGTTATCCACGGGAACCAAGTCCTCGTTTGGGATAGTGGCAGGGCCAAGCTCTTGAAAGAGGCCAATGAAGGAGGAGCATCCCGGGCCGCCGTTGAGCCAGAGAACCACGGGGTCTTTGGCGGGATCGTTTCTGGATTCGAAAAACCCTGACAGAGAGAATTAGTCTGCTGTCTGACAACTCGGGCTAGTTGCAGTCTTACAGTAAAACAGGTGCTTGTCCTCCTGTTCTTCGTCGAGATAGCCACTGAGCTGCTTGACTTTGTCGACACCCAGCGCCGCAGGGTCGGCCTGTCGAACTCTCAGTTGGTAGTTGGCCAGCTCGCCGTCCAGTCTCTTGTGAGCGCCTGGTTTCGTGCTGGCGTCCTGGATCTCGGCGCCCTTGACAATGTGGTCCCAGAAGCTGTCTGGCCGGCGGTCTATTGCTTCTTGGTAGGTCGAGGCCCTTTTGACCTTGGTGAGGTCGGCGACGGCGGTTGAGGCCGCAGCCAAAAAGAGGACGGAACTGGAAACCCGCATAGTGAGTGAGGGGACAGTAGATTCTGGGCTGCTCGGTGCTGAGGTGCAAGTTTGCTTCTTGATGTTGCCCGGCTACTTATACCCTCCAACCTCTCAACCTCGTCGCCGAGCGAGAGAGCGACCGACCGACCGACCGTGCGTGCTCATAGTTACCAGAGGCAACCCCTGGTTGCTCAACAGGGTCAAGATTCATGCGAGGAAACCAAGTCTGGATAGGAAGGTACAAACGTAGACGTTGTTGGCGTTTATACGACACGGCGGCGACCATGCGAGCAGCCGCTGCATCTTGGTTTCATGGCCCCCGTTGTGATGGCGCCATTCCGCCATGTCCTAGTGTACAGTACGCTGTTCCACAACCACGGAACTGGGGGCCTCGATGTTACCCTTGTGTGGCTGCATTAAGCAGGTCTGAGCAGGATGATCACGACGAGTAGCCGAATCGGCAGTTCAAAGGGACAGAGCGTTTTCCCTCCCCGCTTTTTCTCGGCGATCTTGCACCGCAAGAGATACAAATCTAGAGCACGGATGGTAACGTGCCAGTGTGTCGTCATCAATGTCCACTCTCTAGTCGTGCGGCGATTGGGTTACACTGCCAAACGAGGAGCGGGAGAAAAAGAAGCTTCCAATATAGGTAATTTTTCTGCATTCGTATTCCGCCACTTTTGGGTCGCCGCCAGGGTTGTAGATTGGTACTGGCGTTGCTATTCGACAGAGTTGAGACTTGCAGTTGCTATCTTGGGCAACCAATCATGTTTTCCGGTCCTTGAACTAAACTAAATGGAGTTGAGATTCTGTCAGGGACCGGGGTCAATGTCTTTCAGTCTGTCTGAGTGAATGACAACGACCAAGTTTCATCGGCTCCCGGCGCCAATTCCCCCATCATTAGTTCCGCCATGCTTTCGTTCAACATTGGCTGAAACTTTATCTGTAGTGGTGACTTGAGACGACAGGTATTTCCAGGCGCAGCGCTCTATAACGAGTACAAGATATCTGGGTCAAGCTGGCTGGACCCTTTGCTAGTACCACGCCGAGTTCGGGACGGCTCGCACTGTCTGATTCGCATGTATCCCTGAAAAGGTTTACGTACTATTATCAATCTCCTAGTGTAATTTGGTCAGCTCTCAAGGTTCGCAATGGCAGTAGATGACTGGACTCGAGTCCGTACAGAAATGCACTCTCTAGCCCTGTGTTGTGAGATGGGGGTCTCGAGTCACATCATCACCAATCGGTCCAGGCTCGGAAACAAGGTCGCTCTCAAGTGACGATTAACAGATTGGATGCCGCAGCCGTCAATGGGCTTGCTTGGTGTTGTGTTGATATGTTTGGCCCAAGCCTTTCCGTCTCCCCTCCTTAAACCTCGCGCTGCTTCATTTCAGCAGACCTTTCTTTCCACCGTTTCTTTCCATCGCCTCCCTCGCCATGTAGGTCTCTTTTCCACGTCTTTTGGTTAGAGACCCTTACTTCTAGGGTAAATTTGCAGACGCAAAATGTACTTGTCGCACTTTTGTGTAAGAAATCATTCATTATACGCCCCAAACACACTGGTAAAGACACTTTCAGCCAGCAAACCGGTGCCTTTCGACGTAGAGAAACGGATCCAACGGGTGTAGCCCGATAGTTTTGGCTTTGATTCCTGAAATTCCGCCTCAGCTCGCCGGCATTGCTGCCCTTGCCGAGCTCACAACCGTCTCGGAGAAAACGTTTCTAACAGGGGCCACGTCGATCCTCGACAGAATCGATACTCTTGTTGCCTGCCATGTACTGCATCGGGCACATTGGGCCCAGGGATTAAACAAGGGAGAGTGTCCCGCCAATGCAAACCTGGTCAGCGACTACGTTTCGATCCGAGAATCCGGGTACAGACTACCTTCTCCGGCGCGTGGGGGGGGACTGGCCACTTGGTCGTCCTCAAAATCTCGGCAGAGAAGTCAGAGGCGTGGCTGTCCATTCTCTCTCATATTCACATTGCCACTCCAATATCAGCTGCTGCGCATGTGCTTTGCATTGTGATCAGAATGACGACCCTTGTACTCTTGTGCCTTTCGCAAGATTGGTGGGGGTCCTTGTCATTGCCATTTTGGTCTTGGGCGGCTGTGTGACATGACTTTGTTTGACAAGATGGTTGTCGGCATCTCGACGATGCTGGTATACCTCGATGCCACTTTGGCCAGCAATCTCAAAATGCTTGGCTAGGTTCTGCTGATCGTCTTGCTGGTCGCAACTGCCAGTCTACTGGAATTCTCAAACGCTGCCCCAGACAAAATGCTTGTGCACGGGCGCGTCTTGGAAGTCGTTGGCCAGCCCAAGCCTTACGACAGGTGATTGTCCTTGGGCAAGCAGCTTCCTGATGAATAAGGGGGGGGGGAAGCCGGGCTGGGCCATAACGGCGGGCATGGTGAACGAAGAGGATTTGCGGAGCATGAATGGCAGTAAAGATGCCACAGAGGCAAGCGTTGTGTGTGGATGCCCATGTCGTCCAGGCACAAGAGAGGGGAGGTCCGGATCTGAGCCAAGAAAACAGGCGACATTGGGGCCAATGGTCATGTGATTCAAGGCTGATTGTTGGCGGTGAGATGGAGCCAAACATGGGTGAATTGAAACACAGAGCTTCAACATTAAAGGGCGAAATGTCTCTGCCCAGTGCTCTGAATGTCAAAAAAAAGTAATTTACCAGCGACTACGCATTTACCATTGCTTCAACAATACCATCTGCATCTTCCTGTGCTGGCAGCCAAACCCTGACAACCTCGAAACCAGCGCTGCCGAGCAATTTCCTCCACTGCGCTTCGGTTCGCTCCATGCCTCCATTAAAGGCCATCATGGCCATGTCGCGCATCGCATGGAACGTCGACGCCCCCCTCTCGGGGATAACCATGTCGTGGATGAGCAGCTTGGAGTAACCCGGCAACATGGCGCCCCTGAGCTTCCCCAAGATCTCCAGGCACCTTTCATCAGACCAGTCGTGCAGGATGTGGTGGTACAAATATGCTCGTGCGCTGGCCCGTCATTCAAGGTTAGTCGAACCCGTCGTTCCAGTTGACACACGGAAATCTACCGTGACTGTACCTCTGACTGGTTGTTCGGTGAAGAAGTCATGCGCCATAATCTCAATCTCGTCGCTCAGATTCTTGACGTGATCAGTTACCGCGGCCGAATCTTGAAGAACCAATCGACCGTGTCCCGCATATTTTTCGTGGAATGCCATCAGATCATGTCCTTTGCCAGCGCCCACGTCCACGAGCACCGCCGACTGGCCACGGAGGCCGGTGAGAAGCCGGTCCTGGACGGGATACCAGTCAACCCAATAACTTCTAGAGCCCATCGTGTTGCCCATGAAGAGATTAAAGTCTCTGAGAATATCGGGCATGGAACTCAAGAGCTCAAACGTCGTCATCTTGGTTTGAAAGGCAAACTGCACAAGGCCGTCCCGTGGATTGGCTGGGCATCGATGCCCATATTCCTTGAGATACTTTGGCGCCTTTTGGGCGGCGTTGACAATTATCTCGCCTCTTGGTTCTCGTAAGCAACAAGTCGTATGAAATGAAGAATGGGGGGGTCTGGGCCTAGTTACATCATTCTGTGCCCTGCGGCGATTCCCTCGGATGCCATTACATGAGTCACTGGAGTTGCTGTCCATTGCCTCTCGCCGACTTCGTTGACGATTCCGACGGACGAGAGAGGTCGCAGGATGCGGACTTGTTTGCCGACGGTTACTGAATATCCTCTGGTATACCGAGTGAGCACTCACTAATTAGCAGCTCTTCTCCGCCAGATTCCGAGGCCAGCTGTGTGGAGGTGACTGGGCCCGTGGCACTGGCAATCAACTCAAAAAGCCTCAGATTGATAGCAACCCGAGTCGCGACGGTAATCAATGGCTGTGCAAGAGACACAATGGTGAGCGAATTGTACACCCGAAACCGCGAGCCAGTTGCCGTACCGAATAGGCCAAATCCACTGCCACGTTGGGTGGCTGGCCAAGCTCCATTACGAGCCTTTTGCTCAGCCGGAGCGCATCTTGCCTTGCGCCTTGATTGTCTTGCAGAGCTAGCGTTGGCTTCAGGTTGCCAAGTTGCTCAATGAGAGTGATGGACGAGCTTGCACCTGCCATGTTGGACCTCTGCTGGACGTTTGCGTCTGAGGTCGTTTTCATCTGAGAAATGGGACCAACATGATGAAAGTCGGATGAGGGGAGAGGCTCAACTTGGAATGTGATCCACGGATAAAAGGTTCAATGTTTTGCCACCTACACTTTAAACACTGGAGATTTTTCCTAGCAGCGCAAGGGCTTCACGTCGCTAATGTATCGTCACAGAATGAACCCCGACCCAAGACGGATGACGAGCGGTGAGCACAAGGAGATGCGTTTCATCGCACAAAATCGTTCTATCCAACCTAACCCCCATGTCCCCAGATCTTGGCTATATTATATTCACTCCAGTACATGGTTGGCTTGATGCCGCAAAGCTTCCACTCGCCGCCAGTTTTGCTGTACTTGATGTAAACCAGAGCATGACCATGGCCCTTGGCTTCCACTGTGGCCTTGGTGCTGTCTGTATACTTTTGATGCGCAGCCCGAACCTGATGCGCCCCTTGTACCACCGTTTCGGATATCCAATTGTACTTGGACGCCCCAATAAGATGTTGGGTGTCGATTAGGGAACTGCCAAGCATATTCTCGCCGCTGGCAAATGCAATAAAGTCTTCCGCGGTCATTGACTCATCCCGTGGGCCAGACAGGAACGAGTAGTCAACCTGACCGACATTGTTAGCTCTGTAGCAGCATCACCATGCAAGTTGCCAACGTACATTGAGTATTGGCGCCAAGATCTGTCTCAATCGGTCCCAGTCCTGTCCGTTTGCACTCTGTGAGAATTGTAACATGAAGGCTGAATTGAATAGCGACAAAACGGAGCATACCTTGGTATCAAAGCTGTCTGCCCAGTCAAATGCAATGGCAGAAAGATACAATGCGTCTAAAGGAAAAAAGTTGAAGACATTCCTACTTTAATCGGGGGAATAAACTCACCTTCGGGGGTGACCTTGGCTGGCATCATTGCTTCGGTATAATGTACTGTTTGAGTGACAATGCGATGACTATTGCTTGGATAATGAAGAGAAAGATGTAATAACAGAATAAAAACGAAAATGGTAGGCTGATGTAGTAATAAATGGATTTAAAATGTCTTGGATAGCTGGTAAACTCGTGTACACTGCGATTGTCCCAGCAATATAGAAAGATAAATGGTCCAACCGGCACGAGACGGAAAATATAATACAAATGAAAAATTCATAAATGAATTAGTCATTAGTATCGATTTCAAATCCTAACGCGCACGTCATACTATGCTACCAGGAGCTTGACTTTCCATTGCACCCGAACGTGCCGATCTCGGGCCGACACGACGGTCGTGCGGCATTTGTAAAAAAGGCTGTCGAGGGTATCAAAGGCACCCTGGCATTCATACGCTGGAAAATTAAAAGACGATTAAATCATGTTGCATTCACTACCAATTGCGCGCAGAAATACTTGGCTAAGCTGCAACGATACCAACAACAGTCGGATTGCTGCCCACGGCGTCTACTCGGGCCATTCACTGTGTGCGTATTGAGAGCACTTGAGCGGGCGTGACTGTATCCAATCGGGCGCAGTCCCGGGCGGCCCGGCCGACTGACTGCCGATGGCCGCTTGCTTCCGGCGGCTAACTGGATTGACACGCCTGCCCTGGACTCGGCATCCAGCTGCTTCTTCACGCAATCAATAGTCTTGGCCAGTTTGGCGCCGTGCGATTTAAACCGCTCGGGTTGATTCCTTGATGCCCAAACGCCGAGGCCACGTTGGCCGTGTAAGTCGCAACACCAGTGGCCACAGCACGACGCGACCCTTGGTAGAGATGCAGACCAGCCTTTATCAGACTTGAATTAGATGCTTTTGTATACCGAAAGGTACGCCAAGCGGCCATCAAGCAAAGCACGGCCAACACAGCAGCAGCAACGTATGAGTACAGTTGAGTGGGATTCGGGTAGTATATAGTAAATCGACTACCCATCATGGCCACATCCCAGGAACCCATAGCAACCGAAACCTCCAGCCCCTAATTGGTACAACGCCTCCTCATCATGATTCTGAAACCACTTTGCAGCCAATAATCCGCCACCAAACCACCGCGAAGCAGCGTTCATGCCCAAACCAGCAGCGCACAAAGTGGCGATGCCGTCTCGTGCTCAACACCTCGGCGGAACGTCGGTGACGCTGCAGAATCCGTCGTAGGGGAGCTCCCTACTACCGGCACCCCGGGCCTCGCAGCAGTTTACCATGGCCCCGATGTTGACGCCGTTGCCGCCGCAGAGATTATTCGATATGCAGATGTGCGAGCCCTCCTCGAAGTGCTGCTGGCCGCCTACTGCGGCGCAGCAATCCTTGGTGACGCGGTAGTCGATGCAGCCCCGGTCCTTGTTTAGACAGACCTCGGCGTATCCGGCCATGGTGCCCTTGAGGAGCGCGAGTGCGATGGCTACGATGGAGGAGTGCATTGCGGCGAGACTGTTGTTGGTTAGTGCGAGGATTTTAAGTGTTGGCCGAGATTCTTACCGTGTTTCTTCGTGATGACAGAGTAATGTGGTGAATTGAATCGTGTAGACGGGCTGCCGAGTGAATGAGTTGTCGTCTCGATTCTCGAGGCAGCGTCCGTATTTATATTTCTCATGCCCGACCGAGTCTGGGCGTCTACTTGTCAAGACGACTCACTCTGTCTGTGTAGTTGACCACTGCTCTTTGTTTTTCCACCGCGATGCCATGTTTTCCTGTACCAACAGCACATCGTGGCCATGCATGTTTTAGTTGCTGACATATGGAGGACAATCGTTGACATATCCGGCTGGGCTTGGAGTGGTCGGGGCTGAATGTGCGTTTCCCAGCCCTCACAAAGTTGGTATGTGATGCTGCAACGTCAGCCAGAGCAATGGCGATCGGTCATGGCTTTCCGGATGCAGCAATTAGAGGCTGTGCGTAGTCAACCACACCGCTCTGCTTCACTCGGATGGATACAGAATCAACGAGGTTAGCATTCTATCGCGAGATGGAGACCCAAGTTTTGCGGCGTTGTACAGACTAGAGTTCTTGATATGGTCTGACTACAGAAGCCACCAAACAAATGCATCTTGTTAGTAGGAGGCTTACTTATGTCTCTTTTATGTAGGCCATCGGACCACTTGGCGGCGCAACAAGTGCCGCTCGTCATTACGGTGAGAGCAGAAGCCGCTCAACCTGATGACGATCACACCGACAGACCGACACATGTACGTTTGCAACTGCCGTCAGAATTAGCAAGAGCAGGGTGTCGATCATGGCGCCAGCTTCCAGTCGCTGTGGCTAAAATCTGCCAAGTCGGATTCGACGGCAAAGCCTCAGTACAGTACTGGCGACGTTGGCCGGTCGGAAGCAGTGATTGCTTTCGAGACTTGCAACAAAATATCCGTCAGCGACTCAAGTGGCCAGTCCACTCAGTTGCCAACGGGTAACAGGCGTCAATGGCAAGCAAAGCAGAGGCCTCGGGGTAAGATTTGCATTCATCTCCGCAGAGGCCACGCCGCGCCGTTGTACGATCTGAGCTCCTCGACGACAAAGTGAAATGTGACAGTCCGAGTAAACATCGGCCCTACTCGGCACAATTGGCCACAGCAGCAGCGAATGCAAAGCCAGCCCGAGATCCCGTCCAGTATCGACCAGGGGCGACGTGGTACATGGCAATCTCATCAGCCAAAGGGACGAACCAGCTCCCGTCACGTCACGCCTCCCATCGCCATGTCTGCGTGCCGTCTGTCGCCTTTGCCTCCAACATGTTGCCGCCCCTTTCCCACGACATAGACAGCAGCACTCGCGAACCATGGCACGAGGGCCGCTCCATCAACTCCCCCGCGAGCCCTGGTACACCCGCGGCGGCGGTCTCGTGCCTCGCGCGCCGTTGATAACGTGGTCGCTCTGCCGCAAGCTCGTCGCCAGCTTGGCCCTGATTTCCTGCGCCGTCTGGTACGCACAAACGCACTTTTACCGCGACCCGGGGAGCCGCTTCTTCGACCCGAGCCGGGCGTACGAGCAAAAGTACTCGCGCCACCGCAGGGCCGAGGTGCAGCAATTCATTGAGCAGTTTGACGCGTCAAGGTACGCCGGTGCCGCCCACGACGCCCCGAATCGAGGTGAGTCAGGCGCAGGCCGAAGCCTCTGTGTAACATTCACCTCTGTGAGGCGGCAGCGCATCCAGTACGTCGAGGTGAGCAGCGGTGTCCCTACCATGATGCGTACGACCTGGGCCGTGACATTGACTCTTTTAGACGGCCGTCGCCAGTGCCCTGGGAAACCTGCTCCCCCAGGAGCGCGCGGATGTATATGTAAACGTCTTTATTGCCGAAACAAACCCCGACCAACACCCGACCTGGCACCGGGAATGGGTCCGCTCGGCCGTCGACAGCTTGTACACGTACAACGTCTCACGGGCGCAGGCGGAACACCTCGAGACGCTGGAGGAAAAGCGCGAGTTTGCAGAAAAGGGCGTGTTTGACTATATATACGCGCTCGAGGCGTGCGCCCAGACGGACACGCCGTACATTGGCATTCTCGAGGACGACGTCCTGCTCGCCGACGGCTGGCTCGTCCGCGCGCTCCTGGGCCTGCGCGACATTTCCAAGGTCCGCAAACCGTGGCTGTACATGCGCATGTTCAACCAGGAGCGCTCGACGGGCTGGTCGAGCAGGCGGATCGGCGGATCGGCAGCCACAACGAGCACTGGATCGTGCTGGCCGTGTGGGCCGGCTTCTCCGGGCCGGTGGTGCTCGCGCGCCGGCGGTGGCGGGCCGCCCGGGCGCACCTGGACCCGGCGTCGCTGCTCGTGCTGGCGGGCGTCGCGGTCCCGGCCCTCGTGGTGCTCTTCTTCCAGTGCGGCAAGGCGTCGGTGTGGCCGCCGTCGCGGGGGGTCGTCGACGAGCCGTTTGGCTGCTGCTCGCAGGTCATGGTTTTCCCGCGCGAGCAGGTGGCCTCGCTGGTGAGGTTTCTCGGCACGCGCCGCGGGCAGGTTGACTTGCTGCTGAACGAGTGGGCGGAGGAGGCGAGCCTTGCGCGGTATGCGCTGTACCCGGTCATGGCGCAGCACATTGGTACGTTGGCCTCAAAATGAATGGTGTGAGAGTTGATGTGATGCTTATTTGCTGCCAGGTGTCGATTCGGCGAGGGGGACTGTTGTGGACGAAGCCCAGGCGATTTGGAGCATGGCGTTTGAAGATCTCGAGCCGGCGAAGCTGGACCGGGACCATTGGAGAATGGTCAAGGAGTATTATGGCGGTTGAAGGGTCGTGATGGCCCTGATAGGAGAGTATTATTAAAGTATTTGGTATATACAGCAAGAATAAACAAGGTCACGCTCACGTGGCTCTACTCTTCACCAGTGGCACAGGTTGTTCAAACATGGCCCGTCTTTCTCCAGGAGATGCCTTCACGTCATCCTGCCCCCCGTCCGTCGTCAGCCGCCGTCTCTCGATAATACTCGTCGTTGTATCCCCTCTCCACGGCATCAATCTGCAGCGCAAGCACCCTCGAGTACTGCCTCGCCCAGCTAATAGCCCCGGACATGCACCAAATCCCAGGGACGCCGCTCGGCCGCCACCACTACCAGAGCGTCAGTATCTACGTACACAAGAGTCAACAAGGCAGATACTTACCCCTACACGCTCGGATTCCTCATCAAGACGTCCCCATTCCCGGGCATTCACCCGGCCGGCCAGGTCCCTCCCGAGCAGGCGCTCGACCACGTCACCGGTGCGCTCCCACCCGGTCGCCAGCACAATCACATCCGCGTCGAGCCTCCTCCCGTCCGCCAGCTCAATACCGCGATCGTAAAAGGCCCCGAGCCCCCCCTTGCACCGGTGGACCTTGATCCTCCCGTCGACAATCATCTGCGCCGCGCCCTGGTCAATGTAAAAGTGGCCCGACTTGAGCACCAGCAGATCCAGCAGGCTGATGCCGTCCTCGCCCTTTCTCAAAGCCATGCCGGCCCGTTCCATGCCGCCGATGAGCTCCCCGTCCATACTGGCGCAGACGGACGTCGTGCCAGAGACCAGCGTGAGCGCGAGAACATTGGGCACCGACGTCTCGATGAGGTCCGCGTCCTCGACGCTCAGATGGGGAGTTGTCCAGAGACTGGTGATGGTGCGCTCGCAGGAATCCGGCGTGAGGAAGAGGCCCGGGCCGCGCTGGATCATGGACACGCTCTTGGCGCCGTGGGTGACAAAGTCGAGGGCCACGTCGTGCGCGCTGGTGCCGGCCCCGACAATGGTGACGTTTTTGCTGGCCAGGTTGGACACGCTGGACGCCGACTTGTGCCGGGACGAGTGGTATATTTGGCCGCGGAAGGAATCTTGGCCCGGGATGTCTAGCTGCACGGGCTGGTCGCTGTGAAGGCCTGTAGAGAGGACGACGTGCCTCGCCTTGGTGGTGTAAGTGGCTCCGTTTGTCTCGAGCTCGATTATATAACTCTTATCCTTGCGCACAACGCTCTTGACCGTCGTGCTCGTGCGCGTCTTGAGATGCATGATTTTGCTGTAGCACTCCATCCATTCGCCGTACTGGTCCTTGGTCATGTGTCTGGGCCAGTTGGTAGGGTACCGCAGGAACGGGAGATTGTCCATGGCCGAGGGCGTGTGCGTCTTGAGAATGTCGTAGCGGTTGCGCCACGAGTCGCCGATCCTGGGGTTCTTGTCTACCAGCAAGTAGCGGAGTCCCATGTGTTCCAGCTGAGCGGCAAAAGACACACCACACTGGCCTGAAGATGTTCCGCGTCAGTAGGAAATAAAGGGGGAGAGAGGGGGATGGGCTCACCGGCACCGACGACCAGGACCTGCAGCTCGTCCGACTCTGGCGTTGTCTCCGGTCCATTTGCACCGTCTCGACCCGCGTCCCGCGTCTCTGTTAGCCGTTCTAGCTGCGTGGAAACGGTCCAGGCCTTCCACTCGCCGGGACCCGTGTTGGCGAGGCGAACGACCCCCCGTCCGGAGCCAAACTTGGTCGTAAAGGCGAAGCCCGCCTGGATAAAGGTCGCGGGGCCCAACTGCTCCAGCCTCGGGCCCAGCATGGGCGTCTGCACGGCCGTCACCTCTCCCAGCCCGGTGGTTGATCCTAGGACAAGTGCGCTGATGGCCGGGGGACCGTACTTGGAGGCCACGTTCCAGGTCAGGGCCACGAGGTCGCGCCACCACGATTCCTGCACAAACAGGCTTTCAAAGCCCGCGACGCACTTGTCGTCAATGGCTGAGGAGAGAGAGGCAATCCATTTGTCTGCGACCTCGCCGGCGTTGATGCTTTCACGGGCGGTGGATGCGTCGAGGCAAAGAGGCGGCAGCGCAGTCCGGGGGGGATATGTGGCGAATCCCTCGGCGGTTGCCGGCATTGAAGGAGACATTGTCTATTGATTAGAGTCGGTGGGAAACGAGGAGCGACCAACGCTTGCGGACGGCTGCTCGTTTTAACCGGCAGCGCAGGCAACTGGGAGTCGTGTTGTGTAGTTGTCGAGGCGTGTAAGCTGACTGCGACGGTGACCGCTCATCGAGACTCGGCAACGCGGGGTAAGCTCCGTTATTCAGTCTTACTCTCCCGACGGATCTTGTGACACGAGATCGTCTGGAGATGGAAAAAAATCAAGGCAGCAATCGGAGTGGAGTAGATGTGCTTGTTCTCCGCGAGGCCGTGTCTGTGCCGTGGAGTTTTGGCCAAGCAAACGCAGACTGCTGCAATCGGAACGGAGTAGTTTGGTTGAGCATAATTTAACCATGTAGCTTATCGAGCCGCACCGCCGTGGAGACTCGGGAGAGGGCGCGGCGTACCCGGATACGACCTTGTTCACGGCGCTCGAATACGTCTCATCGGAGCTGTATAGCGCGCCTTGTCCGATTAGTTGACGCATGGTGCTCACATGGACTTGATCTTGACAGTACGGGCCCATCGCCAAGTGACGAGGGAAATGCCGCTCCGTGTCAGCATTGCCTCGGCGGGTTTGCTTTTTTTCTCTCCTCTCTTGCGTCAAAGTGCCCGCGTCATGTAAAGATGATCAATACATGTCCGTTCTCACATTGTGCAGACAAATCATCGCCGACTTGGCCAGAACCAGCCGCCTATAGTTTCTTATGCATGTTAGCATCATGTCCGAGAAATACGCCTCCTACTTTCTTATGCACACGATAGCATCATGTCCGAGGAAGACGCCGCCTACAGCCTCTTATGCACGTTGGCATTATCCGAGAAGACAACGACTATAGTTTCTCATGCACGTTGGCATCATGTCCGAAAAGACAACACGGGGACGGTTTGCCATCTCTTATAAAGCCCAATGAAGCCGTCTTTTTATAAAGAGACTCCAACACATTCTGAACCTTGAAGAGCCCTGCTCACCCATCATGCCCGCCATCTCCGGATTGTCTACAGCGTCGCTTTTCGATGCCAAATCGACTGCTCCACCGGTATACCCAGGCGAAATCGCCGAGTTTGTACAGAGGCTTCGGCTTCGTGGCATACAAGTCGACGAGACGCAGGGCCACGGCTTGTCCCCCGACGCCCAGATGCACGACCGCGCGGCCACCGTTCCCGCCGTCGTCGTGTCGCCAAGAGGCGAATGGGGCATCGTGCAGACCTTGACGGCCATGAAGGACCTGGACCTCTACGCCAAGATGCCCGTCTCGGTCAAGAGCGGCGGCCACGGCTACTTCAACGGGGCGACGTGCTCCGGCATCATGGTGAACCTGGCACACATGGCGGACAGCCGCGTCGACGGCGACGTGCTCACTCTAGGGCCGGGATGCGTCCTGGGCCAAGCCATTGACACCCTCGCCAGGCACGGCAAGGCCGTCCCGCACGGCGACTGCTACGGCGTCGGGGCCGGCGGCCACTTCACCACGGCGGGCTGGGACCTCGTCCTGACGCGCCGCCACGGCATCGGCTGCCAGTCCGTCGTGGGCGGGCGCGTGGTGCTCTGGGACGGCACCGTGTTGGGCGTGGACGACGAGCACCACCCGGAGCTGCTGTACGCGATGCGCGGCGGCGCCGCTGCCGGCGTCGGCGTCGTCTCCGAGATCCGCCTCCGCGTCGTGGACGAGCCGGCCCGCGCAACGTGGCGCCTCACGCCTCTCACCAGGGACCAGCTGCGGCGGTGCGTGGCCAACCGCGCCTTCGCCCGCGCCGCCTCGCTCCCCGAGGACATCACCCTGTCCTTTCGCTTCTTCTTCGAGCCGCACGACGAGAACCCCGTGTGCTCCCTCAACATCTTTAGTCTCCTGACCGTCTCCGAAACCATCGAGCACCTGCGTCGCCACCTCGGCGCCGAGGTTGCGTCGCTGGTCGACGACGCGGCTGCGTGGAGCGAGAAGCGGCTGCTGGACCTCCGGCTGCTCCCGGCATCGCGCGCGCTGTCCGCCGACCCCGGCATGCTCTCGGAGCTCTCGTCCGCCCGGCTGCACGACAGCCCGCACGTCTTTTGGAACAGCGCCATGGTCCGCCGCGAAATGGGCAGCTCGTTCCTCGAGACGTCCTCCCACTGGGTCAGGACCGACTGCGACGCCATGCTGCCCGAGATATACGCGCGGCTCGAGGCCGTCAAGCACCTGCCCATGCGGGACAGGATGTACCTCCTCGTGGTGCTCGGGGGAGGCGAGAGCCTGCGGCGGCAGCGCGACTGCGCCATGCCCCTGGGCCGTGCGCTGGCCAGGTTCGAGGTTCACTGGGACCACGAGCACGAGGCGGACGAGTGTCGCGCTTTCGCGGCCACCGTTGCCGACGTGCTGCGTCGTCACCGAGACGCGGGCGTTGACCGGCCGTTCAGGGGCGACATTTGGCGGCCGGATCAGGCATACAGCGAGGACGACGGCTTGCACGCCATCTCGAGGCGGTTTGATAGGCGCCGGGGGCGAGGGCCGCGCCGTGTCAGGTTGTGATTGGCGTGTCGGGGGACATTGATGTTGAATTCCAACCAGACTCTCTTTGCGCTTGTAGCGGTATATCTGGGGGACCGCACGGGGGAATCTACGAGGTCACAAAGCTCGTGATGCAATTATTCAGTTGCATTATAATAGAGTGAAAAAGGGAACAAAGCTCAGTCATGATGGTCTTGGCGGGCGAATATTCTTGCACAGGTTTTACATGGATTGAGGCTGCGGAATTGTACTGTAGCGCGGTTACTATTATATTCGAGAGTACAGAGTATTCAACATGGCAACTCCCCATAGGTAAATGCAGCCATCAGTCTCAACGCTCCAAAGTTCACTTGATGGTACTTGTGGCATAGTTCGGTCTGACTCGCAGCCGTAATTCTCATTGTTTTACATAAAAGCCAGAATACATACAGCATGTACTTGGCTTGAAAATGACAGAAAACCCAGCATCGTCCTATCAAAGGCGGTACTTTCTAAAGGTGAATAAACGAATACCTGGCCGCCGACACTTCCCCGTGTCCATACTTTTCGTTACCCCCGAACCCGTTGTAGTCCTCCATCGTAATCTGGCCACCATCCACAGCATGCACAAAGCCGACGTGTCCATAAGTGCCCTCCCCAGAACAGGCAATGGCTCCAGGTGCGGCCGTGTTGTTGACGGTAAGGCCTTTTGCGCGAGCGTTACCTGCCCAGTTTTTTGCGTCGCCCCATGGCCCAAGGTCCTTGAAGTTTGTTACACCCATCCGCTTAACAGCACGGAACGCAGCAAAGCCGGTACATTGGCATGCTGTCAAGTCATTGCTGTCAATTTGACCACACTTGTTCTTGTCAGGATAGTCGTCGACCATTTCGCCGGGGTCTCGACCTCCCGTCTCGTTTGGAGGGCTAGGCTTGGTTGGATTGTCGCCGGGCTGAGTGCCGTTGTTGGGGATACCCGGGACATCAGGAGTCGGACGTTTAGGTTTGCAGGAGCCGCCTTTGTGCGGTGCCTTGGCCCTGGGGTACGTCAGGGGAAGCCGGTTCTCCCCAACGGCCTGGACACCCGGCTGCTGCGGCAAGGCCATGGCAAAGCCTTGCAGCAAGACGAGAGCAGCAATGGAAGCGGTAAACTTCATAGTGACGAATTGAAAATGAGTGACAAGAAGAAGAAATGATTGAAACGGCGTGGAAAGCAATGAGAATCTTGTAAAGGCACTCATCGTCTAGAGACGTTGCCACGGTATTTTATAACCATCTTGTCAACCCACAAAACCCATCCCGCTCGCCTTCCGAGCACATCAGCATGGTTTGAAACCGTATTCAATGGGATCAACAGAAGCGCGCCAAAGACCACCCACATGTCCCCTCATGGCAGGAGATTAATGATATCCAGTATTTGGTTCATGCGACACCATCAGCAGATGTTTATAGAGTCGAGTTTCAGCTGAAACTAGCAGAAACCTGGTGTTCCTTGCCATCCCAAGTTGCCATCAAGGTCCCAACCCGTTGCAATCAGCCGGATACAAACCACGGCCAGGTATGCCAGCCCCAGGCTTCTGAGGCGACAAAGTCTGGGGATTATTCCCTGTCGTGATTTACTTATTAAGAGCCCGTTAGCTCCTGGAGCATGGATAAGAGGGATTCCACCACGGCATTAACAACTATATTCGGATGGTTGGATGGAGTAAGCAGCCACCCTTTATAATGCCGCATAAATAGTGTGAAACAGTCATATGGGGCGACTAGCAACACGAAGCCAGGAACAAAGGCTTCCAATCACATCGGCTAGCAACCCGAAACAAGGAGCAAAGGCTTCCAATCACATTGCACTTTCACGCGGCCCGCTCGGGAAATCCATATATTTAATTAGGAGAAAAACGAGTCCACGAGGTTACAATACGGGGCACAGTTTGCGACAATTATGGCTGTGCCACGTGCATAATAAACGTGTGGGATTAATATAAACAAGAACATAATAAACAGAGATGTCGAAATCCACCCATATCTCGGGCTGTGTCCGGAGCATTCGCTGTCACGGAAACGGCCGGTTACACGAGGGCTACCGTCACGAGACGTAGGGTAAAGTCCCTTACCGACTTTTTGTATCTAAAGATCGCTTTTGTTAACGAGGTCTTGAGGAACACCAAGGACCTTTGATACCAAAGACTGTTATCAGATGAATTGAGTCATGTTTCTCTAAGCCTTTAGCCCTGTCACATTTACCGGGTGTGTGTGTGCTCCTGGCAATAACAACAGTTTCACACAAACCCGGCCAAGCCAGCCACAACATTGTCCGTCAATTTCATCCGTTCCCCCGACAAGCTGGATATATACCGGTCAGGACGAACGAGGGGCTGCAGCCGGAACAATGGCGGCGAATGGGAAGCAAATCCGCGTGTAAGCTGGCGGCAATCGTTATCCATCACCAGATGATCGTCTCTGGGATTACGAGGATCCAATCTGAAACACTACTCAAGTGGCTAGTCCACTTAGTTGCCAACGGGTAATCGGGATGAAACTCGCTGATCCAACGAATCTCCGCCTTAGTCATTGTGTCGATCGTCGTTTTGACAGGGGGTGTATATGGCGACGGTAACCGACTGGGCAGCATGTGGTCCCGGGTTGTTTCGACCAGGAGCTGCCGACAAGGTATTTTACTGGCGTACCAAACACCATCGCTTGTTCAACTCCATGAGCCCGATTCAACTATCCACATCGCACGAGTGCCGGCACAAGTGGCGTCACCGTCATGGTGTCTTGAAGATTCGAATGCTACTCAAGATACATTGGCGCAGCCAAGGGTAAATGACTAGTAGTCACTTTTAAGTTGGACTTTTATATGTTTAAAAACATGAATTTTGTATACAATCATCACCGAGACATGCCCAGGTCTCTGTAGGTGCCGGGCCCCAGAAAAGAGAGCCCCAAGATGTGAATACTTGACAAGGGCCGCCAATACCGCATCTGTTTGCTCCATGACTCAGTGGTTGAAGTTGATCAACACGCTGACAGCAGGGTACCTACTTAAGCACTCGTATTTACAATGAATTGCCCATCGTGAGGTAGCGCTATAAGAGAAAATTAGACTGCCATGATAAAAACAAGTTGAACTGGTGTGACACAGTTCAGGACAAGGCCTTTTAAACGTTAAGAAACAACCATTCCTTGACTACTACAAGTGCGCTGGCATCATGGAAATTCAAAGACCACACAAACATGTACTGTGATTCTAATGCTTTCCCCGCATATATTCGTGTTACATCTGATTGCCCACCCCTCTACTGACAGGCTCAATCCTGGAGCAAACACCCAGAGCATTTCGTACCCGGCCCACGCTCCAGGGTCTGGCCGGATCCCCGACACAGCTGGCCCTCCACATGCCAGGTTTCATGAAACGCATGGCTTTGGCCCGATCTCCAGCGGGCTATACGGAGGCTGTAAAAGTGTGGACTGATATTCCTTTGCAAGTGGTATCAGCACGTGCGTGACAGTTCGGTCAACCCTCTCCCACCGGTGTATGTGTCTGAAGGCTCTCGACGGCGGACGCTACCAAAGCAGCAAAGGCCGGCAACTTCCTTCTCCAAGGAACCGACAGTTTCTGTTGTTATTCTAAATATTTGACTGAGGGTCGAGTGGAATGCAGAAAGTCAGATACCAAAGATGCCCCCAAGTGTGCCGCCCATCTCGTCAACTGTCTCTGTCAGAATCTGCAGAAAGCCGAGTTTCCATCCGATGATGCTGCACCGTTGCCTGGCATAAAACATTCTTTGACTGCCTCGCCACATCCTTCATCGCTCATACTGGTATCCCATGTCAGGTAGGGCTCTGACACCATGGCGGCCTCGCAAAGCAATCAAACATCCCTCTCCAGCAGCGCCTCATTTACTGAGAGTTTTGATCTGACAAAAATACAGTATCCGAAAACGTCATCTCTGCTCCCCGGGCTTGGCTGGTATATTCTCGACTGACATTATCCCTGTGGACTGACTGGCCTCGGGGTGCTGTCCTCTGAACACGCCGTGTTTAGCCGCGAGACTTTCGTCGTTGGCCGTTCAAAGGGATCCAGCGACTTGGATGCAAGGATATCACACCGCCTGATATCGACAGACGAGTTAGCCAGGGAGATGTAGAACCCCAGGGCGTTGAGCGACGTTCGAACACGCCTTCCAATGTGCGGAAGGGCTTCGAATCATATATTTGCGCCAGCTGGCTTTGAATTTTTTCTGTCACTGTGCCGATTTCAAGTGCTGATAGACCACCATAGTTATTGATGAGAAGGGTGACAGACAGAAACGGTATTTGCGTTGGCTGGTCCGGCTCGTTATGAATGCCTGCGCCAATGACACAGACATCTTTGACGACTGGGTGAATCTGTCGCCAGGAACATAACAGTGGTCTAGTGCCGAGTCAATGGACATTATTAAAGCACTCACGGATTTAGCGAGACGTATACTGTTAGCACGGAAAAAGCCCAACAGATCGTGAAGCCCAATAAAGGGACTTCACCACAAAAGACCTGTTACTTATATAAATTAAACACGTCCCCGGGTAAGAGCCTTAAGTATAAGTGTTTATTTTATATATATATAGTGGTTAGTATTCTCTCCTTTCCTCTTAGAAAACCAAGGACCTTTGACACTCTTTGATATCATCTTTGAATTTGAACCTTTTCCTTCCAAGCCCCCTAACGAGTCCTTGTCACCTATACAATGCTCTCAAGGCCACTTCTCGGCTGCCGCAGTGCACAGCATCTTTATTCCTGCGAGTGAGGAAAAGCGTTTGTCGGTACTACCCTGGTCGATGCGGATACAAACAAAGCGCCATTGCTCACAGAATATGCTCCAGAAGTGCAAGACACTGGGGCCGTGGCGGTAGGAGTGGCAAGGCACCGAGGCAGGGTTATTCTTCTGGAATAAAGACAAATGGTTATTGAAATTTCCACCAGGAAGCCAAGTCGTTGGTAACGGAGCTTTCTATCTTCACCGTCAATCACAGCGTCATCTCTTTGAGTGCGGTAAGATGCAGTGTTTTGTACCTACTCCACGTTCTCATTGGATATTATCCCCGTAGGAGATTGTTGCCTGCACCTTGCCGCACTCAAAAGGATTTTGTGGCTGGATACATGGGCAAACTTCGCGGATACCACAGCCAATGTTTCCTCAAGACTCCATGGAGATGTACAAAAAAAGTAATCTGGTTCCCGGCTGCAGACTGTGCAAACGGGCACGCTGTTGACAGGCCTGATGTGCAGAGTTACATTGCGTTGATCGGGCCAAGCACGCTGCGGATGGCAGTTCCGTCCAACTGACAAAAGCTTCTCCTTGGAGAGCGGCTGAGGAAACTTGTGGTAACAAACCGCGTGGTTTGATAGCACAGATGTTTTCAATCTCGGCAAGTCACTGTGTGTAAACGTTGTCAACTGACTCATTGGTGCTTCGCTGTTTGCTCTGAATCTGGGTCGTTCCGCCAAGCAACAATTCGGTGCCCGAAAATGATACCAAGACGGAAGCGGCTGAGTCATGCCATGTCTGAGTCAGGTTTTTTGAGCTGGCATGCCATGACTGGAGCAACTGTTTGTAAGTGACCGTACAGCTGAAGATGAGAGAGCCGTGCCCTCTGTGACGGGATATTATACAAATTTCCCGATGGACACTATTACCCGGGTGTCACAACATCACGACACGGACCGACCTTTGAACCTGGCGATAGTTACATGAGACCTACCATCACGAGACCCCCGGGCAGAGGCTCATCGCTGCGTTATATAAATATAGGCTCCTCTCTGATGCTCAAGACTGTTAGATTCTCTAAACAATGTCGTTTTAAGCCCTTTGTTCAGTCTACAAACCCTTGTCACAGATACGCTGATCAAAGGTAAAGACTCAAAATGGCAATCCCTTACTCTAATGCCACCTGGGAAGTTGTGGATTCTATACCGCTCCTTCAGACAGTCTTGACCAAACTACAAGGTTTGCCATCTAATCCCCCATCACTATTTGTGGACTTGGAGGGCATCAAGCTTGGACGATCCGGCTCTGTTTCTCTCTTATCAGTCCATGTGGCACCAACCGCAAAGACTTATATCATCGATATTTTCAAGCTGGGAGAAGAGGCATTTACAGCCACATCAACATCA